TAAATCAAAAAAAAAAAAAAAAAAAAAAGAAACAATAGATATTGAAAAAATAAAAAATAAATTTGTTTTTTTAATAATTTATAGCTTTATTTTTTTTTTTTTTTTTGAATTTATAAGTTTTAAATTTATTTCTAATTTGTGATTTAAATTATTTTAAAATATTAAAACTTTTTTACAAGTTTTTCAAATATATTAATATTAGTATTATTTAAAATCATATGAATCCTTAGTAATTATTAATGCTTTAAAATTGTTTAAATTGTAAAAAAATTTTGTTTTTTAAATTATCCTTCTAAAAAAAAAAAAAAAAAAAAAAAAAAAAAAAAAATAAATAAAAATTTGATAGAACACCTAAAATTTAAATAAGAAAAAAGATTTTAAAATACAAAAAATATGTTATAATATAGAGAAAAATTATATAAGAAAAAAAATTAAAAGTAAATTCTAAATACTTATAAAAATATATTTCATAATTTATTCAAAAAATGTAAAAAATAATAAAAAAATACATAAATATTTTATTTATTATATGTACTCTTTCATTTTTTTTTTATGGATAAATAGCATTACTACATAATGTTTTGAGAAAATTCACTATATTAAAAATTAAGGAAAAACATATATATATACTTAAAGTAAATAAATAGAGAATTTAATAAGAGATAATTCTACAATATTATAAATCTAATATATGAAATTTGATAATTAAAAAAATATATTTTATTTATTTATAAGATGTATAATATATAATTTTTTTATATTAATAAATTATATATATGCAGAATTATACAGAAAAAATTAAAATTATGTGAATATATATTTACTTAGTCTGTTGTATATCCCTATATATCAGATTTTTTTCTTTGATTAAACAAAAAGAAGAAAATAAATAAATAAAATAAAATTTTTATATAATAAAATAAAAAAATCAAGAATAATAATGAATAATACTTGCAAGTATTTATATCGAAATGTAATAAAATCATGCAATAAAACTTTTAATAAAGATGTAGAAGCTAAAATAAATGTATTAAATGGAATAAAAAATATAATAAGACAAAATTTAAAGACTGCAGAAGAAAAAGATATAAAACAGCAACTAATTGAAGCTAACGATTTTATTAAAGACCATATTATTCAAGCAGTTTATAATAACTCTACTGGAAATTATAAAGTTCATATAAACGAAGATCAAGTAAAAAAGGGATCAATAACATTAGGAACGAAAAATGAAAAAAAAATTCCCTTTAAATAATAAATTATGACAAATTATGAAAATTGTAACAGAAAAATATAGATAAAAAAAAAAAAAAAAAGAAAAAATTAAAAATTTTTTTAGATTTATTGAAAAAAAAATAAAATAATGTAATCTATTAAATTTTATAATTCCGCATGAAAAATGTTTTTTTTCTCTGTATTTATTAAAATTTTTCATTTTATCTTTATTATATGACATATATTATCCTTATTATTATTATTGTGATTTTTTTTTATTATTATTTTATTTTTCTTTTTTTTGTTTATACATTTATTATAACACTTAAAAGAATGTTATACTAATGTTATTAAATTAATAGTTTAAAAATATTTTTAATAAATGTCTATTGAATATAAATGTTTTTATTATAAATATTTTTTATAAAAGTAAATTCTTAAAATTTCAGACAAAAATAGATATAAATATATATTAGCAAAAGCAAAAATTAATTATTGACAAAAAAAAAAAAAAAAAAAGAGAAATCATCCTAAACATATGAATTTATTATATATTAAAAACAAAAATACTTTATTAAAAATATGAAATTAATAAGAAATAAAAGTGAAATATCTTTTTTCTAAATCAAAAAAAAAAAGTAAAAAATAAAATTCACAAAAATCATGTATAAAGGATAAATGTGAAATAACTAAAAAAAAACAAAAATTCTAATAATAATTCCTAAATTTTTTTTTTTTTTTTTTTTTTACAATGAATGTTAATTCATAGTATTTTTATATATTGAGAAGGTTATATGCAAAAAGTATATATTCATATGATTGAAAAAATAAATATATATAAAGTAAATATATTATTAAAAAAAAAATTAATATATTGTATTTTTAAAAGGTTTATATATATATATATATATATATTACAAATAATATAAAACATTTAAAATTAAAATAATAAAACCTATTAATTTTGTAAATGTATATTTTGTCTCTGAACTAATTATATTATTAATTTTTTGTATATTTGCTTTTTCAGTTTCATCAAAATCTTTTAAAGATTCACAAGTTATATTAGGCATTATTTTATTTCTTCCTATACACACAGCAACATTTGTAGTACCAATAAACTTATATCCATCTTTACATTTAAATTCAATTTTTTCTCCAATTAAATAATATTTTTTATCAGGTATAAGAGAAACATGAGGTTCTTTTCTTGGTCTCTCGCATATTTCATTTTCAGAAACATTATGTTTTTTCTTAATTTTTTGCAATTCAGCTTCATTTTCAGCTAATAATGCTCCTTCTAATAAGATAGATGGATTTGGTCTTTCATTTAAATTAGCACATATATGTGTTTCAACTTTTAATGATTTTTCGTTTTCTTTATTATTTTTTTTCCTGTTAAAATCATGTTTTGATATTTCTTTTTCATTTTGAACATTATTGTTTTCATCGTTGTACAAAGGGTCAGTGTATTCTTTTTCATTCTTGCTATTTATATCAATGGAAGAATTACTTTTATCATTCTTCTTTTGCTTATCTTCATTGATAGTTTCTATTAATATTTCACTTTTTTCATTTATTGTGTCAGTTTCAGGAATTTTCACTTGGTCTTTTTTGAAAATATTTTCCCTTTTTGTATATCTTTCTTCATTTTCTATATTATCAACATTTTTAGTTTCATTTAAATTTTCATTGTTAGATTCCATATTATCTTTCTTATTTTTTTTTTTAATTGTGTATTCTTCGTCATTCTCTTCATCATAATCTTCTTCTTCATCTTCATTATTGTTATCATGATCACTTTCATTCATATTTTGTTCATTTTCTTCTTCATTATATTCATCAAAATCATCATTCTCCTCTTCACTTTCTTTTTTTTTTTTGCTTTTGCTTTTTGAGCTATTTTTTTTTTTTTCATTTAAGTGTAACTCTAATAAAGAAAGAAATTTTTCATTTTTCGCAATTTCACCTGGCTTATCATTTCTTAACGTATTGTAATTAATATCATCATTTTTTTCTTTTTGTTGATTTTCTCCTCTTATATTCTTAGTCTCTTCAATGTTCTCATTTTCTTCTTTCTTATTATTTTTTATTTCTTTTTCATATTCCTTCCACTCATGATTATACGATAACCACATGCAATTGAAGTTGGTTTTGTTTTCATCTTCTAATTGTTTATAATGTTTTTCCATGAGATAACAAGATTCTTCCGTTTCAAATAATTCACATGCTCTTATCCCTGATCCTAAATCATTACCAAATACTTGAAGATTTACATAACCTTAACAAAAAAAAAAAAAAAAATACATATATATATATAATAATTTTTACATAAGTAGATAAATTAGTTCATATAAAAAAATATTATAAAATAAATGAGAAGAAAAAAAATTAAAATTTACCTTGATTTTCGCAACCATTATTAGAAAATTTGCATTCAGTATATTTTAAACATTCTTTTTCTTCTAAAAGTTTACAATTCTGAAAACATGATTGATATATGTTATCATAAAAACATGCCTGATTCTCCTTACAAGTTTTCATATCTGTTAGATCAAAACATGGACTATAAATTTCAATTTTATTATTGTGATTATTTTGAAAATTTTTAAAAAAATCTTCATCGTTATTATATTCATATTTTGCACTACCACCATTCAAATAAAAATGTTCTCCTCTTCTGATAATTTCTTGTTCTTCTAATTGTGATTTAACATCTATTAATTCATGCTTTGTATTACTAATATTGTTATTTTCTTTTTCATCATTTTTTTTATCTATTGAATTAGTATCATTTGCATTATCATTATTCTGAAAAAATGAAAATTCTAAAGAAAAAAAAAAAAAAAAAAAAAAAAGTTAAATGAACGTAAGAGTTCTATAATGATTATTCTTCAAAATGTAAAAGAATAAATTTATTATAATTTTCCTTTACTGGATCTAAAATATGGGTGACTATTTATACTTTCAATTTTAGACAATTCATTAAATATTTTAATTTTTTTTTGTTGATTTCTTATTTCATTCTTAAAAAAAAAAAAAAAAAAAGTAAAATATATATTTTAATATATTTTTTAGAACACTTATAATATATTTAAATAGATATATAACTTTTTTTAAGTTTAATAAGTCCAAATTATTTGAATTTTCTTTTAATTTGCTACTAGAACTCAAGATTTTATTATATTTTTTATCTGATGCTTTAGTTATTTTATAATATAATAAAAATATTAATATGTTACATATTATATTCATTTTACTTATTTTTCCTTAGATACATTTATAACTTTTTAAAATTAAAACTTGTATTATATATTAATATGTTTCATATATACAGTAACGTACAAATATAAAATAGAAAACCACATTCACTATTCATATTCTATTCTCTTTTTTTAACTCTTTTCTTAATAAATGAATATGAATATATCTCTAAAAAAAAAAAAAAAAAGATAAATGATATTAACGGTAAAAGGAAATATAGTGTTAAGTCAGATTTTTTATAATGCACATTAAGTGCATATTGATTTTATTTTAAAAAGTAAAGTGGACATAAATCATTAATATTTTAAAAAATTATATCTTTCATAAGAATATAAACTTGTTATTTTTTTTTGTTCTTTTATAATAAAAAAATTTTTATGTAATTAATAATATTCTCAATTTATATAAATGTCCTTTTTTTTTTTTTTTTTTTTTTCTGATTGTCTTATTTTTCAATATATTTTTTATGTATAAATAAATTGTTTCTATATTGTTATAATTAGAACTAATGCATATAAGTGCTGTTAATATAAAAAATTTAATAGAAAAATATACTATTAAACTATTCTATTTTTATTTTAAAGAAATATATATCATTGTAAGAAGTATTTATAATAATAATGTTATACATATATTTTTCAATTAACAACTTATTTTTAAAACTATAAGAGTAAAAATAAGAAATGAATAATTAAAACCCGTTCAAAGTAATAAAATATCTCCTCCATAATTTTAGCTTAATAATTATAATACGAGAATTAATAATAAAATTCTGCATAGAATCTTATTGTTTTTATTTTCTTCATTTTCCTTTTATTTTTCAAATTAACCTTTATTTTAAAAAAACGCAAAATATAAATTTATAGGATAATTTTTAAATATATATAATAGTTTTTTTTTTTCTTTTTTGTATTACTATTTCAATAAAAATAAGTGTAATATAATTAGTTTTAAAAAAAAAAAAAAAAAAGTAAATATAATCTATGTGATAAATTCATAATTCATTTTATACAACTTAATAATCACTTTTTTCAAAATGTTATTATATTTGCATTTTTCCTTTTTTATAATTCACACTCAATGATGTTTTTCTACTTTTATTTATTTAATTTAAAATTATTTATTTTAAAAATTTTGTCTTTTTACAGAACAATATTTCCAATTTTTTCTTATAATTCCTTTTGACAATCATAAATTTTAGGATTTTTTTTTTTTTTTTTTTATTAGATACATATATGTAATGCGAACTTTTTAGAATAGCATTTTTTTTTAATACTTTTTATTTTTTTTTTTTTTGTTTTTTATTTCAATTATAACTTTTTTTATTTAAAAATAAAAATTTTGTTAAATTTTTTTCAAGTTTGTTTTTCAATTTTTTTTTCTTTTATTTGATTAATTATTTATATGATGTATAACTTTTTTTTAAGAAATTAATACTATCTTTTTAAAAATTTCACTTTTTTTTTTTTTAAGTTTTTTATTTTTTATTTCAAATCTTGGAAAAAAAAAAAAAAAAATATATTCTTCAAAATATGTAAAGTTTATTAATTTTAAAATTAAACTTTTATTTATTTTATTTTTTTTTTTTTTTTTCGATTTCTAAGTCATGAAAGAATTAATAGGGAGATCAAGAAATGAAAGAAAACTTGATGGTATTTATAATAAGCAAAGAGATATTTTAGTAAATAGAATTAAAAATAAAAAGAATAATGATATATATTTAAATTTGAGTAAAAGAAAAACAAATGAACCATTACCATTTCCTGAAATATATGAAAAAAAAAGAAAAGTTAATAAACAAAATGAAAATGAAGAAAAAAATGTTTCTCAATTAAATAATAAAGTTAGTGAAAACAACACTACTGTATATAAAGGAATATATATGATATTAAGTAAACATATATATTCAAAAAACAAATTTTTTAAAAGTGTTAGTATTTTTACAAATTTATGCATAAATTACATGAATAATGATAATAAAACTATTTTTTTCTATGCTTTTGATCATATTTTGAATGTTTTCCTTGAAAAATATTTATATGATGACATAAAAAAAAATAATATATATACTTTTTATAATTATGACGAATTACATATAAAATGTGTGATTTCTTTTTTTGATAAAGTTATAAATAAAATAATTGATAACAGATTTATAATAAATAATAAAAATCAAGAAAATGCCTCTTCAAAAGAAGAAGGAGAAAGTATAACCGTTAATGAAAAATCTGATCAAAAAGATTTACAGGAAAATCAAGTATCATCCAATACTAATAACAATGATAATATTTTAAATGAAAATTTAAAAAATAATAATTTACCTAATTTAAGCGAGCCAAAAAATAATTTAACAAAAATTAATGAGTTGTCATACAAATTAAAAGATAAAGTAGAACAAAAAGTAGATATAATAAAAATAACAAAAGAGGAGAAAAAATTTTTAAAACTTCTTAAAATAAAGATTTATTATTTAATCATATTATTTAAACTAAATGACAATTTTGTTTTTAATAAATTAATTAACATATATAGACAGATATTTGAAGAAATTCAAAATGAGTTCTATATATATGAGGAAAAGATAAATGAAGAAAAGTCTAAAAAGGTATCAGATGATACTCAATTGATAAATGAAAATAATGTAAAAGATGAAGAAAATAATAATAAGTTAACTCAAGAAAAAAATGTAGAATGTAATAACGATAAATTAAATGATGAAGAAATTATAAATGACTATTTAAGTTATTTTAAAGGAAAATGGAAATTACCGAGTGATTATGAAATTTTTAAAATAAAGAGAAATGCATTTGTTAAATGTCTATCAAATTTATTTCACTTTATTAATATAGCTTGGGCTAAAACATCCGTTGAAAGTTTATTTCAAGATGTGTATTTAAAAAAAAAATGTTTTGATATATGTGATGAAATAATTATAGAAAATTTACAGTCATCAATAAAAGCAAATATAAATAAAAGAAAAAGTAAATATGATTCTCCACACTTGTTATCAATAGGTGAATCATTAAATCCAGTTATAGATGCTAGAGATGAAAAAATTATATCTATTCATGGATCACATATATGGTCCAATAAACAAATGGAACGATAATATTTATCTTTATTTCTTTTTTTTTTTTTTTTTTTTTTTTTTTTTTTTTTTTATAATAATTAATAATATTAATGTTTCAATATTATTACCTCATTAATTATAATTGTAAATGTTTTATTATCAATATATATAATACTACTTTGAAATTATTGTGCACTTTTAAATTCTTTTATGTATATCATAAAATTAAATTATTCTTTTAGCAAAGTTATATATTCATTATGAAATGTATAACATTTTTCGATTAATTTGAATTCACAACTAAGTTTTTTCTTTGTTTTAAACTGACTTCATATTTTAAGAATTTTTCTCTTTATAAAAAGATATAAAATATACTTTAATATTTAATAAAAAAAAATTATCTCATAAAGTAAATATTATATTAATGAATTTAAAACAAAAATAAAACTGTAACAATAATAATTACAATTTTTTTGGAGAAATATAAATTATATATTTATATATTCTTTTGATTTAGAAATTTAAAAATATATGAAACAAAGTAAAAAGAAAAAAAAAGAAATAATTAAAATAAAGAAATAATTGATCAATAAATTTTTTGAAATCAAAAAAGGTAATAAAAATAACGGATGTAGACTTATATGAAAATTTATATGATATAATAAAACAAATATATATTCATACCAAAATAAAATGATGCAGCAAAAAGATTAAATGCTAAAAAAAAAAAAGTTAAATAAAATAAGAAATTCAGATATATATATATATATATAATAAAAAAAAAAAAAAAAAAAAAAATTATATAGAATAATTTATTAATATACTTAATATTATATAAATAATATTAATAATCTTTATATTTCATTTCTATGTATAATTTAGTAATATCTTTTTATTGTATACTAGTTAATTCTGTTTATAATTTCTTAACTTTTAAGATTATGTAATACTTTAATATTTCCATAATTAAACTTGTATTTTTGATGTATTTAATTATTGTACATTTTTTAATTTTATTTAAAAATACAGTTTTAAAAGTTGTGTTAAATGTAACAATTTTTATTAAGTTTTATCATAGTTTATTTTCTTCTATAAATAATTTCACATGTACATTTATATACACATAAATATTTTTTTTTTTCTTTTTTTTTTTTTTTTTTTTTTTTGATGATATATTATTGCTTCATTTTTATTTCTCATTTTGTTTGTATTAATTTGCATGATGACGAGGGTAATATTTTGATAATATATCTGATTTTATTTTTTTTAACATATCTTCAGGAAAAATTCTTAATAATTCCCAAGCTATGTCTAATGATTGATAAATATCTCTACATTCATATGTATTCTGAGTAATGAATCTTTTTTCAAATTTGTCTAAAAATTCTAGATATAAAATATCATCATTTGATAATGCTTCTTCACCAATAACAGCTTTCATTGCTTTCACATCTTGTGCAATGGCATAATTGCTATATAATTGATCTGAAACATATGGGTGATCTATTCTAGTCATATTATGACCGATACCGCTTTTCATAAGACGAGATAAAGAAGGTAATACATTAATAGGAGGATAAATTTGTCTATTATATAAATTTCTATCAACAAATATTTGTCCTTCTGTTATGTATCCTGTTAAATCAGGTATAGGATGAGTAATATCATCATTTGGCATAGTTAAAATTGGAAATTGTGTTATACTTCCATTTCTTCCTTCTACTCTTCCAGCTCTTTCATAAATTGTTGATAAATCGCTATACATATAACCTGGATATCCTCTTCTTCCTGGTACTTCTTCTCTTGCAGAAGAAACTTCTCTTAATGCATCGGCATATGAAGACATATCAGTTAAAATAACGAAAACATGCATTTCTTTTTCAAAAGCTAAATATTCAGCTGTCGTTAAAGCTAATCTTGGAGTTAGAATTCTTTCAATAGTTGGATCATTAGCTAAATTTAAAAATAAAACAACTCTTTCCATTTTTCCATTTTCTTCAAAATCTTGTCTAAAATATCTAGCTGTTTCCATATTTACACCCATAGCACCAAAAACAACAGCAAAATTATCATCAGAATGATCTAATACATCTTTTCCTTGAACTAAAGATGCCTGTCTACATATTTGTGCACCTATTTCATTATGTGGGAGTCCAGCTGCACTAAATAAAGGAATTTTTTGTCCTCTAACTATACTATTCATAACATCTATTGTTGAAATTCCTGTTTGAATCATTTCTTTTGGATATACACGACATTGTGGATTAATTGGGTTACCGTTAATATCTATAAAATCATCTGCTAATATGTTAGGTCCTTTATCAATAGGTTTCCCACTACCATTAAAAACCCTTCCTAACATTTCATCACTTATTGGCATTTTTAAAATATCACCACTTACCTCAACATAACTATTTTTATTATCAATCCCACTTGTTCCCTCAAAAACCTGAATGACAGCTTTTTTTCCACACACTTCTAATATTTGACCTTGTCTTGTTGAATTATCACTCAAATGTATAGTAACAATTTCTGAATATTTAGGAAACTTTACATCTTCTATAATTACTAATGGTCCTTGAACACCTATATATAAAAAAAAAAAAAAAAAAATTATAAAATTCTCGTATATATATATATATATATATGAAGAAACTATTTTGTATAATAATAAAAATTTATTTTCTTCTATTTATTTAATAAGTATAAAAAAGAAAAATAAATATAATTATATTTTTTACATGTTATATTAACCTGAAATTGTTTTATATTCTAATCTTGGGCACACTTTGTAGTTCCTTACAGCAGCTAATGCATTTACTCGTGATGCTTCTATTTTTGTTTTTATTGGTACTTTACTCATTTTTTTTTTTTTTTTTTTTTTTTTATAAATAAAACTTAATATAACATACAGAAACAAAATTAATTTATTAATTTAAAATGAAGTATACAATGAATTATCTAAAATAAAAAAATTTATGTGTATATTCTAATTTTTATTATAAATTTTATTTTTATTATTATTATATATGTAAATATATATATATATAATTAATAATAATAATAAAAACAATTGTCGACTTTCATTTTTATTAGATTTAAAAAAAAAAAAAAAAAAAAAAAAAAAAAAGTTGAATAATATTAAACACAAATGAGGAAAATAAATATAATATTTTAATATATTTAAAAAAAAAATAAAAAGATATATATAAAAAAAAAAAAAAAAAAAAGTAAAAAAATATATCTTTACATATCAAATAACTAAAAATGTATAGAAAAATATATTTTTTTTTTTTTTTTCTTATTCTTATGTTCTTTTCTCTTAAAAATAATACATTAAAAAAATAAAAAAATAAAATAAAAGCATACAAGAAATATAAAATTTCTTTTTAAAGCTTTAGTATTAAAATAAAAATTTTTAATTAAAATATTTTAATTTTGATAAATATATATAAACATATTTATTCAGTAGTGTTTTTTGAGTGTTAATGCCTTTAAAATAATAAACCTTTTTTTTTTTTTAGTATTTTTTTTATTATATTTTTCTTTAAATATATAGTTTAATATATTTATTTAAAATTTTCATTTAAATCATACTTTTTTATATTTTTGTGTTTTTTTTATTTATAATAGCAATTAAGTTATATTTGAAATATTTCACATATTTAAATAATATTAATTTTTTCATTATATATTCATATATACATTTTAATTTGTCCCTAATTTTGTTCTGGGAACATTTTCATATATTTTTTTATAAAAAAAAAATTAAAAATTTTAAGCTATTTTAATTTAATTTATTATTTTTTTATTTTAAAATGATATGTAGTCATATTAAAAAGTATTTTACTATATAAAATATTTAAAAAAAAATAAATAAAAGAACATTATAATATATTTTTAAAATGGGAAATATATTTTAGCTAAAAAAGAAAATATTCTCTTTTTATTAAGGTAAAAAGCTTTATCAAATAAAAAAAAAAAAATATTTTTTTTATTAGAAATAATTTCATTTTAACTATAGTTAAATACGAAAAACAAAAGGCAAATTGAAATTGAGAGTGATATAATGCCTATATACCCTTTTGAATAATATTAATTGTTATACAAAGAAAAATTTAAACATTATAAAGAATAATATACATTTACTTAATATGTATGAGAAAATCTTAATACAAATTACACACTTAAGTATGTATTATTAATCTTTTTATAATAATAATATAGTGAACAAAGTACACAACTGAGGCTTTTTTTGTTATAAAAGAAAAAAATTGTAAGGAAAAAAAATTTTAATAAATTAACTAAAAAGTAGATATGATAATAAAATATTAAATTATAAATAAATATATTCTCAATTTTCTTAGTAAATGTAGTAAAGAAATTGCTATAAATATGTCTATGTAATTTCTATTTAATATGATGATTTCTATATTAATGAAATATGTTTTTTATGTCTACTTGATTATAATGAAATATAGTAGACTTATTTATTAATGATGTATTTGGTTCTTTTTTTTCTACGGTTTTCTCTTTTTTTTTTTTTTTTTTGATATTTTAAATAGTTTTTTAGTAAGATAAAATTTCCTTAAATTTACTGATTAAATATCTTTTAGGTCTTTTGAGGAAATATTAAAAAAAAGAAAATAATAAATCAATATCATACGTGTGTGGTATATATTATAAAAAATTTAATTAAAAATATTGTAAATGCTGTTATTTTTATGATGAAAAAAAAAAAAAAAAAAATATATTTTATTTATATATTTTTATAAATTTTTCACAAAAATATTTATGTGTTTCAACTTTTATTAAAAATAGAATTTAAGCAATTATTTTTATTATTTGGAGAAATTAGTGGAAAATTAAAAAAAAAAAAAAAAAAATGATTAGAAGTAGTACAAAAATTGCTTCTTTTTACTTTGATTCCTTACTTTTTTAAGTTCTATATATTTAAAAAGCAAATATGTATTAACTTGTTATTTTTATTTTATTTAAAATGAAGGTGTTAATTAATTCTCAAAAAATAGTTTTAAAATAAAAAGTGAAAAATGTAAAACTTATATAAAAAAGGGATTCCACTCTTATGTGTATATATGTAAATTTAGAGCATCTAAAAAATACTAATTTTATTTAGTCATAATAAAAAGAATTACTTTTAAAGGCTTTCTATTAAATATGTGAGCATAAGATAATTTTTTTAGAAAGAAATTTATGCAAATCTCTAGGATTTTTATTAAAAATGTTACTTTATATAATAAACAAAAGAACCGTTATATTTATTTTAAAAAAACATATCTATACATTAAAAGAAAGCAAGATATATATATATATAGTCATATATAAGTATACGTATAAAAAAATATATTTCATATATATAGGAATATCTAATTGAATATATAAATAGAAATAATATATAGAAATATATATAAAGTTATATATAAAATTATATATAAAATTATATATAAAATTATATATAAAAATATATATATAATTATATATATAAATATATATATAAAAATATATATAGAAATATATATAGAAATACATATAAAGTTATACATAAAAATATATATAAAATTATATATAAAAATATATAAAAATATATATAAAATTATATATAAAAATATATATATAATTATATATATAAATATATATAAAATTATATATATAAATATATATAAAATTATATATATAAATATATATAGAAATATATGTAGAAATATATATAGAAATGATATATAGAAATATATATAAAGTTATATATAATTTTATATATAAAAATATATATAAAATTATATATAAAAATATATATATAATTATATATAAAAATATATATATAAATATATAAATACTTATATAAAATATATTTTTTATTTTTTTAATAATAGAAAACGGGGAAAAAAAATGTAGACAAACATAGAAAAAAGGACACAAAAAAAAAAAAAAAATAAAATAAAAAGCATTTTAAAATCAAAAATCCTTCGCTACTGTACTTTTTTGTAGTAAATTAAAATGAGTTTTATTTTATTTTTTGTTAATTATTAATTAAATTTTAATATAATTATAATTTTATTTTATTTTTTTTTTTTTTTTTTTTTTTTATCAAAAAATTGATAATATATCTTTCTACAAATTTTTATAGGCTTTATAAAAATTCTTTGGTAAAAAATTAATAAAAAACCTAAAATTCTATTAAAATCTATAAAAAATCTTTTAAAGGCATTTTAACGAAGTTTTTTTTTTTTTTTTATTATTTCTTTATTTTTGACTTATTCTCCTTTTTTTTTTTTTTTAACAATTTTTTTATATTTCTTAAAAATGAACTTCAGAAAACTTATTTCATCATTATCATTAGTATTAATTTTATATTCAATTGTTGAATTAGCTTTTGCAAATGCAGATGAAAAAACTAAAAAATCCCCAGGAAAAGGTAATCCAGTATCTACTACAAGTTCTAATCAAAGTGATACTTCATTAAAAGATGCTATAGATAGAATACCAGCTGAAGCTCAACAAGCTTTAGAAGAAATAAAAGTAATATCAAATATGTTAGATAAAAAAACATCAGTTAATAGAAATCTTATTATCGGTACAGCAGTAACTAACATTGCTTTATTATTAATGTTATCTGGTTTAATGGGATATAATACAAGAAAAATGGCTGTAGATGATGGTGAAGGTAAAGATAAAGCAGGAAAGAAGAAAGACGTCAAAGGTGAATGTTGTAAAGAGACAGATGAAGCTCACTAATTTATTTATAAAAACTGTAGTTTTTTATAAAATGATTTAAAAAAAAAATTTTTAAATAATTTTTAAGAATTTTATAAAAATTCTATCTAATATATATATATATATATATATATACATGAACTTTATAAAAGTTTACTTATTAAAACTTACATGAGACTACAAAAGGTTTTACACTCATTTCAGTAATTATAGAAGTTTTTTTTTCCCATTTTTTTTTTTTTTTTTTTTCTATTATTAACTTTTAAAAAATCATATATGTTGTGTGCAGCGAGTTAATGAATCTCTAAATCGTTTGCAGGGACATATATAATAACACACACATTATTCATTTTATATATTCATTACATTATTCAATTTACATGTTTATTACATTATTCATATAGATAAAAATGTACACATATATATATCTAATACTCAAATAAAAATAAGACTAAAGTTTTTTTATTTCAGTTTTTCTTTATTTTAATTGTAAATTTACTATTTATTAAAAAAAAAAAAAAAAAAAAAAAAAA